TTCTAGCGTGCCCACATCCCCCCACATCTTAGTGTCATCAGCAAATTTGAACAGGGTGCTTTTTACCCCCTCGTCCAAGTCGCTCATGAAGATGTTGAACAGTGTGGGCCCATGGACTGAGCCCTGCGGAACCCCACTGCCCACATCCCTCCAGGCTGAAAATGACCCATCCACCACTACTCTCTGGGTGTGGCCCTCCAGCCAGTTGGCGACCCAATTGACTGTGTGGGTGTTGACACCACAGTCCCCCAGTTTCTTAATGAGAACAGGGTGAGAGACAGTGTCAAAGGCCTTCTGAAAGTCCAGGAAGGCTATGTCCACTGCTACCCCTGCATCTAATGATTTGGTGATCTGATCATAGAAGGCCACCAGGTTGGTCTGACAGGACCTGCTGCTAATGAACCCGTGTTGGTTGCCCCTGCTGGCCCCTTGTGGGTATGCGCCAGAATAATTTTCTCAAACAGCTTGCCTAGGATCGAGGTAAGACTAACTGGCCTATAGTTTCCCGGGTCCTCCTTCTTCTCCTTTTTGAAGATGGGAACCACGTTGGCCCTCTTCCAGTCCCCTGGCATCATAGATCAGTTCTTGGATTTACATTGTACCATCACTGTTGTGTCAGAGTGCTTGGAGAAATTTTGCCCTTTACAAAAATGTAGGGGAGATTATGAAGTTTCAGTTTCTAGCCCCCACATTTTTCTAACTATTAGAATTTTCTATGTATGTTAAATATTTACTAAACTCTTTCCCTGGTATGCATTTCAGAAAAGTGGTTTAATTTCCTAGGATACAGCAAAATGCAGACTGTATGAAATCTTGTTAGGACCCAAGGCATGTGACCTAAGGCAATGGAGAGAGTAAAACAGACTACATATTTCCAAGTAATCAAAGACCATAAGAATTCCCCTTGTACTTCAATAATTCAGGTTTTCTATTATAAAGTAGAAACACTTCACACAATGTCTTATAGCGCTTTCAAGGGGGGGTTGAGGATTCTCAACACTATGGTAAAAAGGAAATATATTGCTTTGAGAAAAAGGTTTTCCCTGAGATAAGTTTATGTCCTACATTTTATACTTGGGCGTGTTGGCACAGTACAAGAATCATGGCTGCTTTGTTTTGTCAGAATGTTGTTTGAATGCCATTTGTTATAATGTTTTCAAAAGCAGCAGATGGGGAACAGATCATGCTGCTTTATTTGCATATTAAGCAACATTTTATTAAAAAAAAATCTATTCAACTTGGGAAGTTTAATGCAAGCAGAGCTCCTGTAATGGTGTGTAGCAAATGCTTTAATATAAAAATATAAGCCTTAGGGCATGAAACCATTGCTTGTACAAAAAAGCAACCCCAGACTGGATCTCTCTTGAGCAACATGAGCTACTGTACTGAGACTCCTGCAATGCAGGAGAGAACTGCTATTGAGACAGTCATTCATGATGTCTGTAGCTCAGTTTCCACTACAAGTGGATGTATACATTTTAGATTCAATGAGGCAATGTTCAGTTCTTAACCAAGTCAAGCAGTAAGGAAAGTTAATTGGGCAAAGGGGCCATGTGGGAGGGGAATCTTATGCTGTACTTTGTGATCAGTGCATTCTTTATAGCAAAATATTGTAACACCCAAAAAGACAGAGAGAGAGAGAGAGAGAGAGAGAGAGAGAGAAGGATCCTGATGGGCAGTCCTTTTACTTAAGATCAATATATCCCATTTAACAGGCATTTGCTATTGGCCCATGCTAGGAAGCATTATAATGAAAACATACCCCACTCTCTCCCATGCTATGCAGGTCAAAAGGGAAGGAAGCATCACATAGCCACAACTTGTTCAGGGATAAATGCAATGTCTGTTCCTAGCTTAAATGGCTGTGTTTGCTCTAGAACTATCCCAGGATTGGCATGTACAAATATCACCCTTTTAATCAGGGTCTAGCAAATGCTTGATTACACTGATGCTTTCCTGCCATTGATTCAAGGATGCAGTCCTGGGATAACCATTCAGACACACTTTGCCATGTCCTGAAACACAACTGTTATCACTTTGTATCCCAAGCCAATGGACACTGGTATCTGAACAATTATACTTTGTCCTGGGATAAAATCATTTATCCTGGGATGAATGTGGCTGTTTGTAGCTTTAATGTTGGGCTCTTAATAAATATGCCCAAGACCAAGAGGCGTACTGAGTATGGACAAAAAACAGCTAGCTACATCATGTTTTTGGCATTCAGCAGTTGCAGAGTGCATTTACTTGGTAGCAATTCCCAATGGAGTCCAATGCAGTGTGACATGAGTTTTGTCCCTACTTACTACAATACCCTTATGAGAGCTTCCCCTCCCCCCTGCCTTTTTTTTTAGTGCTGATTAATTTAATCAACCTTAAAGACACTGCTTCTGTTACGAAGTGATGGAGGTAACCATATAGAAAATCTGCATTTTTAATTGGATTAGACTAAAGTATCAGAATGAAGTCAGTCCATTTTTCTCTCTACAAATACATACTCTACCAAAGTTATGAAGCTATATTGTCATAGGAAGCTATAAAGTGAACAGAAAAATTAACAACAAGAAAAGTTTGCCCTTGCACTTTGCTAACAGGTCAGAGACTGGAGAGGCCACTCAAAACACATTTTTAAGACTCTTTTCCCATTGCACAGAGGGGAGAGGGCGAGGATGGGGTACTGGAAAAAAACAAACAAACAAACAAACAAGAGTTCCTCCTGGGGAAGTTCAAAAGAGAGATTTATTAAGGGCAGAATTTAGTCTTAATATGCTTCTTAGCACAGGCAGATTCAGGAT